GAAGGAAGGAAGGAAGGAAGGAAGGAAGGAAGGAAGGACGAAAGAAAGAAAGAAAGAAAGAAAGAAAGAAAGAAAGAAAGAAAGAAAGGAAGGAAGAAAGAAAGAAAGAAAATAAAAGAAGCCTGTGGTGGACCAGAGAAGTAATAGTTTTTTTAAAATGCTAATCCTTTAGCTACTTGCAAGAAATACCATTAACATGTTGATTTCATTGACACAGAAAGTAAAAGTCCTTTTATCAGAAGGCTGCAGCTTTTGCAGTGGGTGGAGTATCAAATCTGAGAGATACACTGAAGTTTAGGCCTGAAGGAATGGAGGCTAGCATTGTGCACATACAACATACACAATTTAGCCCAGTTGCTGGGTAGCTTCCTTGAACAAGTGCTTGTTGTGGGCACTAGAGACACATTTACTAGGAGATCCCAGAAACGGTATCATTAATCATCACACTGATAATCATATAAAATGTCACAGGAGGACTATAAATAAAGCGTTGGAGATTGGATGGAAAAGGTTTTTAAAAATGCTGTTATAAATGCTGGAAAAATTTGTTAAGTGGAAGGTGACATCTGAGATGTCATGTGGCGAGGGGAATATGCCCAAGGGAAAGGTAGCAGAAGCAGTAGGTTGACTTCAGAACTTCAGAGAGAAATGGCATAACCCAGAGCATCTTGTTTGCTTTGTAAGGATTAAGAGGAACAACTATAAGTGAAATCCTAAATGTTAGTGTCAGAAAAATAGTAAGAGGAGACCTAGGCTTATGTGCTGGGAGGAGTCCTTGCAGGGTTCAGATGGGGTAAAGACAAGGCAGAACTGGATGTTAGGGTCTAATGTCCCAGTAGAGATAAAAGGTAGTGTCGATTGTGGAAGCACAATGTCAGGCAAGATTATGTAGGCAAATGCTATGAAAAATATCTACTGATGACACACTTGAGGAATGTTCCTCATTTCTGAAAACATGCATTTTTTTATTATTTTTAGTAGGAAACCTCTTTCTGGGTGGTTATGATATTTTTTTTTTCTCAAGTAGGGTCCTGTTTGTAAGCAGCTAACTTGAAGTCAGCAAAGAACCACAGTATCTGTGGCTGAATTAGCATCAGGTTTTACCTATTTCTCTGAGTCCACCTCGTGCAACAGTCCCACACTCCCTGAACTCAGGCTGCCCATGGCATGCCCACTGCAGCCCCAGGGAATTGGCATCTGCTCTTCCCTTTGTCCTACACAATACCCACCCCCACCCCACCCCCTTCTCATTTCTCATCACAGGACTCTCCTCTCCTCTAAACCCTCCCCATGAGTCAGGGAATAGTAACACATCAACCTTTGCAGGCTATACTTTTTAATTCGTGTTCCCCACAGCACACACCAATTTCTAAACCTGTCTGATTGACATACATGTGTCTTCTTGCTTATTTTCTATTTGAAAGAACAGAGAGAGTGTCAACACTCATTATTGGCAGGCCTCTGGAGACAGACCCTGATACACAGGGATACACAGTAATTCACAGTTTAGAGCAAACCTGCTTCTTTGAACCCTGCCGTGCTGTTGGGAGGATTAAATTACAAAATAGACAGTCACAGCTGGATCAGTTCCTCCTATAAGACATTTCTAGGGCCTAGAACTTCACGTGAACGTAGCAGGTAACTCCATATTCTGTACTGGCTTAAGTTTTTATTCCAGGAAGTTCCAGAAGATAGAATTTTCAGGGAAAGGCTTTGTAATTGAGGGGAGATGTGGATCTAGGTCAAGGATTGATGCCTAGAAAAAAAAGCTTGCATTTGTTCTCTGGACCCTGTTTACGAAAGGTAAGAATGACAGGGAAACAGGCATCATCTCAGACCATCGGGCCCAATTGTTTAGGGTTTAGCTCCCGAGAAGGGTCCTTGTAGTGTGAGGATTGAAGTGAGCAGACATGGGGAATTCAGAGTTACCAAACCCCTTGACTCTCTTTTTTTTTATTTCTTTTTTTTTTATTAATTACACTTTATTCATTTTGTATCCCCCCATAAGCCCCTCCCTCCTCCCCTCCCGATCCCACCCTCCCTCCCCTTTCTGCATGCATGCCACTCCCCAAGTCCACTGATAGGGGAGGTTCTCCTCTCCTTTCTGATCTTAGTCTATCAGTTCTCATCAAAATTGGCTGCATTGTCCTCTACTGTGGCCTGGTAAGGCTGGCCCCTTGACTATCTTATGCAAGGGGACTCTGAAAACTCTTTGTATAAAGAAAGGATTCTGAGTTGAAAACCTAACTATTGTCCTATTGTCTACATCGTATGCCAGAGGGTAGCGGTCCCAAGAGTTGAAGAGTTGGGACTTGTCGCTTCTCACTCTGCCCCAGTTTATGGGATTCTTTCTACTGTCAAACACTCAGAAAAAAAGATACAGAGATTTTATTAAGTCATAATCTGTTCTGGGTGGGGGGGAGTTTGGACAGGTTCCAGGATGGTTTAGTATATTTAAAAAATGTTCTAAGCAAGGAGGCACATGCTTAATAATTTCAGTCCAGGATGTGAGCATATGTCATGGTCACACTGCTGCAAAGGGCTCCCTATAGTTCATATCTTTAGTGTTTCTGAGCTGTATCCCTACACTATGGCCACAGGATGGCCACGCTAGAGAGATCTATACTAGTGCTTGAGGCTTTAATAAAGGTGACAGGCGGGTAGAATCACATCAGTTAAGAGCCCCGGACTTCTGGGCTTATGTTAAGAAGAACTGATATTGAAGAGAGAAAATTTCCAGTTCCAGTTGACAGTAGCTTTTGGGAGATGCCCTGGCTCTGAAGCTACACAATCCTGACACACATGGGTTAACTTTGGTGTTTTATTGCATAATCAAAACTCAGTCACTTTTTTTTTAGGACTTAAGATTTGCTTTAATGAAAAGCTTATTTAAACATGTACATATGGAGTCAGATAAACATGTGGAAATATGTCAATATTTCATCAATAAATATAATTAATCAATTAAAAAAAACCTGTGCAGGTTCCTCTGTTTTCTAAGAATGTATTTCTGGAAACTGCATCCAAAAGAATCTATTGTAAAGCCAAGAATGCTTTCCATGGAAACAAAGTAATATTCAGGGCTCTTCATACCTTAAAAAGTATCAGCTTCAATAAGCCACATATGAAACCAACAAGCTCATGAAACCAAAGACCACACCATCATTAGAACCCGCCACACTCTATAGTAGCAAGATTTAAGCTTCACGTTCTCAGCCACAGACACACATGTACTTACTGTGTTGGTTACACTAGAGGCCTCAGCGCACCCTAACCTACACAAGTAGTCCCGCTTGTGACTAAGCTCGGAAAAAATGTAAACAAAATTAAAGTATTAGATAAAATGCCATCATGCTGCAGTCAACAGCTGCTTACATAGACTTTCATCAGCTTTGCAAATGTCAAATTTATCATGGTTCAGTAACTTAGCCACCCACTGTATAACACTCTTGTCAGCTGGTTTTTCATAAATGGTCCACATTTAACTTAATACATATATAAATTATAAATATATATGTATATAATTTATAAGGTGGGAATTAATTTTATAGATGGGGACTTTTTTTCTCCAGATACATTTTTTTATATGAAAAACAGGTATATGAAGTTAGCTCACGAGCCTATGAAGTGACATATAAAATTAGGGTCATTCTTCCCCAAAACTTACCCACAGTCTCTTTCTCTATTCACACCTTTTAGAACGAGGAAGTCCCTTTAAATGGAGGGTGATATATAAATGTGGGTGCTAGGCAACCTGGAGTGACTGAATGAGCAGGGATCCATTGGAGCATGTTGGTACCCAAAGGGTGCTCTCGGATTTTGATTCCAATAAAGAAAACTCATTCTGAACTGATCTCATTTCTTAGTGAAAAAATACTCTTGAGAACTCAAGCACATCTGTAATAATTCAAAATACCCAGAATAATAACAAACATATGGGTTGTCATTTTACGGTTTACAGAACGTTTCCATAAATATAATTTATCTCCAAATCAACTGTTTGGGGGTAAGCAGAAGAGATTCTGAGGCCCGGATCATCCAGCTTTCAGTTCCATCCACTCGGTCAGACAGTCATTGACTTGGTGAGTGAGCCACTTTCTACCACCATGTTTATCGAAGGGGTGGGCATGTGGCCAGCTGAGAAGGGTTGGTAGCATCTCATCTTTTGCATTAGAGAAGAACCAAGCTCAAAACGCTGCTTGCCTCCAAGTAAATGCTGAGTCTAGTGATGGAAGGCGGAGCAAGGACTTACAGATCAAAGTGGGCTGATCCAACTACAGAGTCAGTGTACAAGTTAATGCTTCAGCTCTCTTCACAGTTGACAAAAAGAGGCCTCCAGTGAGAACTGCGCCATTGGATCAGTTTTGACATGAGCCATCCCAGCACGTAATATTTCTTATCACAGAGCATATATATATATATATATCAGCAGCATTTAGGAGTTCTCTCTCAGGATCTACTTCCTTTTGCTAAGGCGTGGCTTGTACTCAAGAAGACTAAGTCTTCAGATAACAGAGAATTCTTTTTGGCATATGAACTGTTTTGGCAGTCTTTTCTTCCTCATTCCAAAGTCTCTTTCCTGCCAACTTCAATTCCAGGACGAAAGTCAACACTGACAGGAATATAGCACATGACACACAGTGAGCAGCTCAAGAGAAGGGTGCACGCAGTACATAGTCCTGAGATGGCATCGAATCACAGCCAAGAGGAAAGCTGAAACATCGCCTGGCTCTGAGAAGCAGCGCTTCCCTCACTGAAACCTTTGCTCTGGGGTACTTGGGACAAACCACGGACTCTGGTTTGAGTGGAAGATCCTCAGTTAACTGTAAGCTCACAGCTGATCAAATCAGAAGTCTAGAAGGCCCAAATCAGGAGGGCGGTTACTCTGAAACAAAGCCCCAAGGTAGGCAGGCCATGAGATTTCGAGGTAGCAAATGGCTGGCTAGAGCAGCGTCCTACTGTCCCAGAAATGGAAAGAAATTGTGAAGACTCCCCTAGTCCAAGCTTCATTTGGAAATATAGAAAGTGGGTTTCAGAGATGGGAAGACATTGTTCATGATCTCACAGCATTTTAGAAGCAGGGCCAGGGCTGGCATCTGGATCCTCTGACTTGGAGTCAGATACTGTTTTCTCATTACTAGCATCTCTGGACTCTGCACTTCTCCACCTAAAAGACAGCAAGGGTAACAAGGCCCCATAGTGTGAACATCCATCAGTTCTGTCCACTGGAAGCAGCAAAGCCATATTTAGAGGTTTTGAGTTGGTACTGTTGACTTCACCACAGGCTCATAGAAAAGATCCCAGAGTCTCTCAGTAGACACTTATAATGCCACCAGCCCTGCCTAAGGCTCTTTAGGTGTTCTATCTTAGCTGACAGAAAAGGAAACATATCAGATGAGATAGATCTGGTCTTGGCCCTAGGGGAAGCTGCCTTTGGCTTCCCTCCAGGGTTTCTGCAGAGACCATTTTCCACTGACAGATCTCTTTTCTGTGTCTCCAATGGCAAATGGACACAGCCCATCCTGAAGAAAACATCGACAATAAACACAGGAAAGAGAAAGCAGAACTCCATGACTGACACAGGGCTGCTCAAGAGGATACATGCCTACACCCACAAAAGGAAAAGAATTTACAAATGCCCAGCACAGAAGGGCAGAGAGACATTGGTGAAGAGTTTGAACACAGCTTATAGTAGATGTGACCAAGCAAGAACTGTGATTAAAACAGGCACAGGTTTTGACAAGATCTGTATGATGACATTTCAAAGGAGGCACATTTGGGAACTGAAAGGAGAGCACAGTGAACACTTGCAAGACAGACTGGAAACAGGAAGGGGTCTAGGTCACGGACTTCACAGAGGCCATCAAGCAAGAGCGGAGACTCCAGAAAGAGGGAATGTTGAGCAATAAAACATGAACAAGGAAGCCCTTTTCTCCCCCTGACTCCCTCAAACACCACCTGCTGGAATCCTGGCGGAAAAGTCCAGTGAGCATTGCTGCCTGCTCTTGGAAAGCCTTGGAGAACAGAGTGTCAGGAGCAGCCACATACACACAGCAGCAGCTTAGGACTGCCCTCTTTCCAGGCCACAGCTGTCTTCTAGGTCATTGTCCCAGGGGCCTAAGCATCACTGTGCTGAGGAGCCACAGGAGAAGTTGCTGTGAGGTGGCACCGACTCTCCCACTGGCCACCACCTTCCACTGCATCCCTGGAGGAGGAGGAGATTGGAAAGGCTCAAGCACTGGATTGGAGTCAAGGGCCTGTGAATAAGAACACCCAGTGCAGGCAGGCACCTCCACTCGCCACGCAGATGGGTTGCAGCTTACTGTCTAAGCCAAGAGTTCCCGACAATAAACTATTCCTGAACAACTACAACTGTTTAGAAATAGTTCATCGACGTTCAGCCCAAATTTCCCTCCTAAAATTTCTTCCCAACAGGCCTACTGTGTATTCCAGGCCCATTCAAAATCACAATGAGCGCTGTCTCGTGAACAAAGCACACGTTCTGGTGATCTCTCTTAAAGTAACGCGCTTGAAAGGAGCTCAGCTCTTCAAACCCAACAAGCAAACCCAACACTGTGTTATGGGTACACCCACAGTGGTCTCATTCCTATCACTGCTGGTATGCTTTTGACTAATAATGAGTTTGTTATCAATATATACACACGTTTCCCTTTAATTCCTTTCTCGTCTCATACTGCTCTAGCTAATGCTTCAAGTGTTGTGTTGAGGTCGAGTGGGGACAGTGGAAATCTTCTCTTGTTCCTGACTTTAATAGGATAGATTTTTTTTTTTTTTGCCAGTTAGAATCATATTGGCTATGTGTTTGTCATACAGATTTCCTTATATTGAGGTATATTTTCTCCAACCCAACCTTCCTTAGGAATTTTTATTATGAAGGCAATTTGGATTTTGTCCAGGTTCTTTTCTGAAACTATTGAGTTGATCGTGTGATTTTTGTCACGTCCATGTATAGGATTGCATTTATTGATTTTTTTTGTGTGTTGAACTATAGCTGCAATTCCAGGATATAGCCAATGGGATTGTGGTGGATAATCTTTTTGATACATGCCTATATTTAGTTTGCAAATATTTTATGGAGAGGTTTTCCATCCATGTTCATCAGGAATATTGGCTTATGGATTTTGGTAATATACTAATAATAGAAGACATTTGCAAGTGTTTCTTTGTTTTTAATTTGAGAAACATTAGTTGTTTTCCTTTATTGAAAGTCTGGTAAAATTCTGCTATGAATTAACCAGAATCTAGGCTCTTTAATGTGAGATCTTGAATTACTGTCTTAATCTCCTTATTTGTTATGGTTCTGTTTAAGTTGTTGATCTTCTTGGTTTAATTTCTATGATGGATAAATTTAGACATTTATTTATTTATTTTAAGTTTTCTAACTTAATGAAGTATAGGTTTTTAAAGTATTACCTTATTATATTCTAAATTCTTTGGTGTTTATTGTAATGTTTATCCTTAATTCTATTAATTCAGGTCATTTATTTCTTCTTTTGATTCATTGTTAATTTTGCTTATCTTTTCAGAGAACCAACTCATAGATTTGTCAATTCCTTGTGTTGGTTTGTTTCTATTTTATTAATTTCTGTCCTGTTTTTTCAAGTATTTTTCCTATTTACTGGATTTGGGTTTGGTTTATTCTTGTTTTTCCAAATTCATAAATTGCATCAGTAAATAGTTTATTTGTTCTCTTTCTGATTTTATAATGAAGTAATTTGGAGCTGTGCATTGCCCTTATATAGCTGCTTTTCAGTGTCCCAGAGTTTTTTCTGTGTTTTAATTTCATTTTTATTCATTCCCAAGAATTTTTAAATTTCTATATTAATTTTTTCTTTGTCCTATTCACCATTCAGTGGTATGTTGTTTAATTTCCACAAGTTCATGTAATTTCTGGAGATTTTTTTTTCCTGGATTTTAAACTTTATTACATCATGGTCACAGAGAAAACATAGTATTACTCCAATTTTCTGTATTTTTTGAGATTTGTTTTGTGTCCAATTATGTGATCTATTTTAGAAAAACATTAAGTAGAATGTATATTCTTTGTTGTTTGGATAGATTATTCTGTAGCTATCTGTTAGAGACATTTGAAGTTTGCTATCATTTAATTCTTAGGTTTCTCTGTTAATTGTTGTCCAGATGATCTGGAGAAAGGAGGGTATTGAATTCACTTACCATTGTTGTGCTGGGGTTAATTTTTACCTTTACAGTAATATGCTTTTTATAAAATTGAGTGTGTCAGAGTTTGCTGTGTATGTGTGCAAGATTTTAAGTTTACTTTGTTAGTAATTGCCTTAATTAGAATTGGTATCATTGATCTCCTTAGATTAATTTTTGTCAAAGTCCATTTTGCTGGCTAATAGGATAACAATGCCTATTTCTTGCCTGGTCCCATTTGCTAGGAATACTCTTTTTCATCCTTTCACTCTGAGGTGGTGCCTATTCTTGAAGTTGTGATGAGGTTATTTTGGTTAACAGTTGTATTATTACATTATAATATATTGTTATATATTTGAATCAAAACAGAATATTTGTCTCACTTAAACTCCATCTTTTGGGCTGGGTAACAATTTTGCCACTTGATAAGGTGCTATAAGAATTTCAGCACTTCAAATGACTTTCAAGACTTACTTACTAAACCATGTTTCAAATGTTTTCTAAGAACATAGATAATCTGTAGTGCTCACTACCTAGATAGTTCTGTTTAGTGTTATCTGCCTCTTAGGTTTTCAGCCAAGGAAAAAAGTACTCAGCAGAGCAGAACAAAGTATAAGAGGACACTGTGCTATAAACACATAAGCCTCAGCATGCTTAAGCACGGCTCATCCTATCAGGCTTAGCTCGGTGATATGTTAAAAATGTCTCACCAAATAATTATTCTGCTCTGTTAGGTGATGATCAAATCTTGCATGAGTTACTTTTGTTCATTTATATAATGAATGTGTCATAGAATTCTAGTAAAATCTACTTTAAATCACACATTTGCAATTCGTGGAGTTCAGCTTTAGTCTTTCTTGAAGAACTGGGGCGTTGCTACTGACATCCAAGCTTCTACTGTGTCACCTCTGCTACCAGAGAGCCATCTGGAGATACTGTCAGCCAACTTTTACGCTATGAGATTTTGGAAACTTTGCTCAGGGAGAGTTAAAGCTTTTCATTAATTCTGGATAGCAATTTCTCCCATAATGTTCCTTTGTTTTGGTTAAAGTCTACTCTTACTGTAGCATAATATTCACTATTTCTTCCCTAAATAGTGAGATAAAACTATTTCTGAGATTACTGCATTCTGTGAACACACTTTGGATTCAGATTCATTCTTGGTCGTATGTTCTCTCTCCTGTAATTTTCAAATGCCGTTAACGCTTTAGATAACTCAATATATGCCCAAACATCATTACACATTACCCTACATCTTCATTTATCTCACCTGTTGATGTATCTACAAAGATTAAAAAATATGAATAGGAAGAAGTAGAGAAGAAATAAAGGACTACTCGTATGCCATTGGCCAAGTCTTCATAATGACCAATCCTCCAACTCCATAAAAGATACAACAATTTCCTCTTAGCAATAGCAAAGGCAGCAAGGGACTTTAGCATCAGAAAAGGGTGATACAATGATATCACTGGCCTGCAATAGTCTCACTTGATGTTATCATACCAGCACAATTAACACGCACTTCTTCAGTGTGATCTGACTGAGTGGTTTTGCTCAAGATAAAAATTTATGGAAGATTGTACTACAGTGGAAGAAAGTGTTTGGCACACAAGACAACACTGCGTGTGCATGGGTTTAGCATCCCAGGAACCCACTTTTGCAGTCAGCTCAGGGTCGGAGCAGGAGCAGCGACAGGGTGCAGCAATGAGAGCAGCAAGCGGAACACAGGGAGTTCTACGGTGCCGTTCATCCGCCAGCGTATGCACCCAACAGCACAATCCGTACATGAGTAGGAGGAAAATAACCCATGAAATCCCTTGCAGTGCTGACATTATAATTCTGTGAGTAGTAGAGATGGTGGGTGACAGACACAGGCCTTTTGATTGGGTGGCGGTTGTGTGGGGACTGTTCTGCAAAGCTGTGGGTAATTGCTTCTCATTTGGCTTTTAATATCCTATTGTTAGTATCTGATACTTTATATTCCACGTG